AACCTACTGCAGCAATCTACTTCCAATGCTAGACAGCCTCTGTCAATTTTGAGATACTGCTAACAACAGCTGGTAAATATTTATTACCAGCTTGTGTGTGATTTGATGTGGGGTTATTTTGTTCCTCGTTTTGTCTTAATAAAAGTTTAATTGTGTTCAGAACAAGTATTAAGAGTCATGGTGAGAGTGTCCCATTTTGAAATTATTTTTAGTGCGAGGTTTAACAATTCCAATCCCTCAGTGTTTTTTCCCCCACATCATTCTGAGTAAACTGCTATGGTGCAGCAAATGGACATCAAATTATTCTCTTTATACGGCCAGCCTATTCCATATGTGTCCACTCATCCATTACATGGGCAGTCCTATAAAGTGCTAACAAATATCGAGTCAAGCTGTAATTAATAGGTATGCATTCTTATCTGTCTAATTTCAGAGAGGCCAGTGTTCACCAAACAGCCGGTGAACCAGGTGGTGTTGGCAGACGATACAGTGGACTTCTCCTGCGAGGTACACGGAGACCCGACTCCGACTGTCCGCTGGCGCAGAGAGGAGGGCGAGCTGCCTCGGGGCAGGTCCGACAACAGCAGCGCAGTGTCGTTGCTGCACACTCACAAATCACTGCACTGAAACTCAATCCCCACTGCCTCACTGTTACTTAGATACATCATTTGTTGCTCCAAATAGCACTTGTTATTATCATTTCACTAATAATATAACAGCTTCCAATTAGAGAGCAACTGTTTGTCCATCTGATTTTCTTATAGTTAGGTGTGAAGGAAAGTAATTCAGATGATTTTCTGTGAGTGGAGGAAGTCCAGCTGACTTGAATTTGCCCCAAAAATTACATGTATAAAAAAACATATTAAAGAAAAGAGAAAACGCTATCATTCGCTTTCTTGTATTTAACGACCGAGAAACGGAAACAAATCAAAGCTCCTGCTGAGCTCGTAATGATTGCTTTTTAAGTGCTGTGCTGCTTACAATACAAATAGAAAGTTATTACTAGAATCTAAATGTGTGAGTCCTGTGGCACAGCAGCTTGTGTTAGTAACGGATGGACAGCCATCCCTGTCGTAAGCTACTTATTTGTTAATCAGTAGAGTTCAGTGCTACGAGACATGCTCAGAAAGGAGTATCATGTGGTGTTTGCACCATCACTGTGTTACTGTGAGAGCCCTACTCTCTCACACCTGTCTGCATGATTGGATGAAACTTTAATGACCTGTCAGGGGAAATAAGGTAAAATGTTCCCTTGTCAACAGCACGACTCAGGCCTGTGTCCACAGAGCTGTGCAGTAAACACAAAGGTGTATGTTTAAAAATCTGATTGGAACATTTAAACAGCCATGTTTTTAAAAAAAAACAAAACATGAAAACTACCAAAATGTATTGTTCTAGTAGTGACTACGCTCACACATTTACTGAACCAGACAACGTCATATTAATTCAAACCATCTTTTGAAGATTTCAGAACATGAATGTAACACTTGCGTTGACTTTTTTCCCCAGATTTGAAATCCGCAGTGAGAATAGTCTGCGTCTGACCCAGGTGCGAGCTGAAGACGAGGGCACCTACACCTGCGTGTCAGAGAACAGCGTCGGCAAAGCGGAGGCGTCGGCTGCCCTGCAAGTACACGGTACAGATGTACACAGGCACACTTACATATAAGATGTTTTAGTTTTACTGCATTCGTAGTGATTCAAAGTGTAAAAGGCTATATTTAAACATTTCACATATTTATGTAAGATGTTTTTTGAAAATTAGGAAACAATCAACAATTGCTCCAAAAGTGCACAGACTTATTGAAGAGTCTTTCTAGAAATACGGTTTGAACACCCATGATCGCACGAGTAAAATGTTTGCACAGATGGGCAGCTTTGCTATGACGCACCACAATCTGCCCACTTGTCACCTACAGCAATGCTGTCTCATTTCATTCTTGTTCTTTTCATTCTGGTTGTTTACGTCAGACGGCCAGGATTTTAAGAACATTGT